AAAGAGCAGATGGGAGGCTTGTTACATTCTCCTTTACTCCTAAATGCATTGATGTCTGTTTGTTCCAGTTTTGAATTCTTGAAGTTTGTTGAGAAATTTGTATTTCTTAACATCTTTGTGTTTTTTTTTAACTTACCACTGATTGTATTCCTCCCATTATAAAGGAATTAGTTTCTACGTAACTGAGAAAATCAGTAATTGGAATTAAAGAATGGGATGAGGAGGATTGATAAGAACTTAGAACAAGAGTATGTAAAAATAAAATTTTTATTACATAAATTTTGTATTGAATTTTATTTTAGCAATAAAAAGCAAATTCAGCAGTTCAACAATTTCAGCAAATTCCATGTGTTTTCTTTTCCTAGGGCTGGACTCATCACTGAGACATATTGGACAGCAACCAAAGATATGCTTCTATGTTTTTGTAAGAAACCAAGATAAACCTGGAAGGCATAATGGGACCCCTTCCAAATATCTATGTCTTTGCTTGTGTCTTTACATTCACACTATGGAATAATATCCAGCCAACTGTGGAAAATGAATTTATTGCAAATTATTCAAGCAATTTGCTAACTAATGTTCCAAAAAACATTCCAGTCCATACTCATGTGTTAGATTTATCACATAATAGGATCTCTGGACTTAGTATCTCAGAATTTATTTCTCTTTCTGACCTTCAAGTATTAAATCTTTCTCATAATCTAATTACGGAGCTTGACTTCAGTGTCTTAATTTTTAATGAAGATTTAGAATACTTAGATTTATCTCATAATAACATTTTGAAAGTTTACTGTCAAACTCTTGCATATCTTAGACATTTAGATCTTTCTTTCAATAAGTTTACTGCCCTGCCCATCTGTCAGGAATTCGGGAACATGTTTCGGTTGGAGTACTTAGGATTAAGTGCCACGATGATACGAAGGTCAGACTTCAGGTATATCATACGTTTGCAGCTACACACTGTCCTCCTAACCTTAGAAGACTTTTCTCTGTATGAGCCTCGGAGTCTGACAGCCTTGAATACAAGGAGCCTCCATATTGTTTTTGCAGCAAACCAAAACTTCAGTTTTTCCCTCTTGTATGATGGAATGAGCACTTCAGAAAGCTTAAAAATAGTTAACTTAAGATATAACTTGAGCTACAAAGATTTCCCCTCTCCTTCTTTAACGCTTCTGAAGAAAATCAAGACAACAGCTCTGATGCTTGACACTGTGGACTTACAATGGGCTATCATTTTGCAAATTTTCCTGTTTATTTGGTGTTCACCTGTGGAGCATTTGACTGTGAGAAATTTGACTTTTCGGGGACCACTGGGGGAGCTGACTGAGTATGAATTTCTACCCTTATTAAGCTCTCTGGAACAATTAATATTTTTGGGTGGCTCCATGAAAGTACTAACTTTGGAGCATGTTCGTAATAAAGTTTTTTATTTCAACCAGGAGATTCTATACCGACAGTTTTCAGAGATGAATATTGCCAGTTTGACAATATATGATGCATATATGCCACACATGCTTTGCCCCAATAGAACAAGCTCATTTCAGTATTTAAATTTTTCTCACAATGCCCTGACGGATGAATTGTTCCAGAATTGTGGTACTCTGACAGATCTGAAATTACTTATTTTGGAGAGGAATAAATTTGAGAGCCTTTCCAAGGTAAGCTTCATGACCAGCCGTATGAAATTGCTGCAATATTTGGACATGAGCAACAACTTGCTGAGTCACGATGCAGCTGATGTGCAATGCCGGTGGGCTGAGTCTCTGACAGAATTGGACCTGTCCTCAAATCAGTTGACGGATTCCGTGTTTGAGTGCTTGCCAGTCAACATCAAAAAACTCAACCTACAAAACAATCAGATCACCAGTGTCGCCAAGGGGATGGCTGAGCTGAAATCCTTGGAAGAGCTGAACCTGGCATCGAACAGGCTGGCTGACCTGCCGGGGTGCAGTGGCTTTATGTCCCTGGAGTTCCTGAACATAGAGATGAATTTGATCCTCACCCCATCTGCTGACTTCTTCCAGAGCTGCCCAAGGGTCAAGGAGCTACAAGCCGGGTACAACCCGTTCAAGTGTTCCTGTGAACTGCAAGACTTTATCCGTCTGGAGAGGCAGTCTAGGGGGAAGCTGTTGCACTGGCCGGAGGCGTATGTGTGCGAGTACCCGGAAGACTTGCGAGGAACGCTGCTGGAGGACTTCCACCTGACTGAACTGGCTTGCAACACGACACTCTTGCTTGTGACAGCTCTGCTGCTGACGCTGGGGCTGGTGGCTGGCCGGGGCCTTTTTTGGCTGCTCCC